ACCTGCTCAGTGATGCCCAGTTTGGGTTCTGCCAGGGCCACTCAGCTCCTGACCTCATTACAGCCTTGGTCCAAACATGGACAGCAGAGCTGAATTCCAGAGGTGAGGTAAGTGACAGCCCTTGACATCAAGGCTGCATTCGACAGAATGTGGCTTCAAGGAGCCCTAGCAAAACTGGAATGAATGGGTATCAAGGGGCAAACTCTCCGGTAGTTAGTCATACTTGACACATCAGAAGATGGTCATGGTTGTTGGAGATCAGACCAACAACGCTCAGTAGCAGCAGTGTCTATTATCTACAAAATGCACTGCAGAAATTCACCGAAGATCCTTAGACGGCACCTTCCAGACTCACGACCACTTCCATCTAGAAGGACAAGGGCAACAGATATATGGGAACACCACCACCTTCATGTTTGCCTCCAAGCCACTCATCATCCTGACTTGGAAATATATCACCATTCCTGCAGTGTCTCTAGGTCAAAATCTTGGAATTCCCTCCCTAATGGCATTGTGGGTCAACCCACAGCAGGTGGACGGTAGTGGATCAAGAAGGCAGCTCACCGTCACCTTCTCAAAGGCAGCTAGGGATGAGCAATAAATGCTGGCCAGCCAGCGACACCCACATCCCACAAAATGAATGTTTACTCTTGTTGGAGAGTCTAGAACCAGGTGGCATAATTTGAGTAACACAGATGGGAAGGAATTTTTGCCAGAGTTTGGTGAATCTTTGGAATCCTTTACTGCAGAGGGCTGACCAGCTGCCTTGTTAAGATTATTCAAAGCTGAGAGAGAGATTTTTAATTGGTAAAGGAATCTAGCCTTCTAGGCAAAAGGCAGAGGAAAGTGGAGTTGAGGATTATCAGATTAACCGTGATCTCATTGAATAGCAGAGCAGCCTCTAAGAACCAAATGGCCTACTCTTGTTTCTGTGTTATGGTCTCGTTCTCCACTTCAATGCTACTGATGAAGATTCTAAAGTAATGTTCCAAGTTCCTATTATCATAATGTGAACGCTTCTTTTGTAATTTTGATAGTGTACACTTGAAGATTGAAGAGAAGATATCACTGACATGTGGCCGGGATGGCGGCTTGCAAAATATGGAGGTACACGGCATGATCATGCTCCGGGTTAGCGATGAAAAACAAGGAAGAATTCGCCTTCAAATAGAAAATGATGACAAAAGAGGAGTTCAGCTACAGGTAAAAGCAACACCATATTCTTGTAGATGAGCCTTGTTTAAATCTGTTTTGGTGAAGCGTTATCGACCTGAAACATTAACCCTCTTCCTCTCTCCAGATACTGCCTAATGTGAGATTTTCCAACCTTCTTTGTGTTCTTTTTCGGTTTTTAAGTTACTTTTAGTGGTTGGGAGTGTGTTTTCTTTTAAGAAACCACTTTTTCTCTGAGACTAGTCAGCCTGCAACCTTGATCTCTCATTGGCTGTGTCTTGAAAATTAATTCTGAATGCTGGGACTGTCCCGTTCAGTACGTTTAAGACACTCATTTTGTTCTTGTTCTTGTTCTGGAGTGCCCCATTCTGTCTGATTGTATGATCATTATGAGTCATGGGGAAAGATCCTCCAACTTTTCATTTTACTTAGCAGTAATGTATGTCTACTTTGTTTGATTTGTGTTCTTGAAGTTTTAAAGTGTCATTAAAATAGATAATCTGCAGTTGAGCAGCTGTTCAAATCCCATTTGCATTTATATTTTCAAGATTATGATTACTTTAGGGTTAAGATAAGTTTTTGTTCCTCCTCCTATGCGGCTCCTGTTTTAAATAAGAAAAGGAACTGTATGGAGCTGTGTGAGGAATTTATAGGGATAGAGAAGCTAAACGCAAATCTGGACTCCAATGCAGATTATGTGTTTGTGATGTGTGGTTAGTATTGACACAGAATATGTTACATAGAGGATAATGTGCCATTGGAATAGTTTGTCAAATAAAGTAGGGTATTGGAGTCTTTCTTAACACACAGGTGCATGCTGTAACGACAAAATATATTGTAGTAAATCAAAGGTACTTTACCCAATCTTAAATTGTGATCAAACAAAGTTGGTGCCTTTTATGTTTCTGAAATGTTAGCAAATAGGATCAATTAGCTTAGCGCAGTGAATGGACTTATGGCTGTAATTAGTTCTATCACTACTTTGGACTGCATGAATTAATACCACCCTCTTAATTTTATGAGATAGTAGGAACTGCAGATGCTGGAGAATCTGAGATAACAAGGTGTGGAGCTGGATGAACACAGCAGGCCAAGCATTATCAGAGGAGCAGGAAGGCTGACGTTTCGGGCCTAGACCCCCCTTCAGAAATAGGGGAGGGGAAGGGGGTTCTGAAATAAATAGGGAGAGAGGGGGAGGCGGATAGAAGATGGACAGAGGAGAAGATAGGTGGAGAGGAGACAGGTCAAAGAGGCGGGGATGGAGCCAGTAAACGTGAGTGTAGGTAGGGAGTTAGGTCAGTCCAGGGAGGACAGACAGGTCAAGGGGGCGGAATGAGGTTAGTAGGTAGGAGATGGGGGTGGGGCTTGAGGTGGGAGGAAGGACAGGTTAGGGAGGAGGGGACCAGCTGGGCTGGTTTTGGGATGCGGTAGGGGGAAGGGAGATTTTGAAGCTTGTGAAGTCCACATTGATACCATTGGGCTGCAGGGTTCCCAAGCAGAATGAGGTGCTGTTCCTGCAACCTTCAGGTGGCATCGTTGTGGCACTGCAGGAGACCCAAGATGGACGTGTCGCCTGAGGAATGGGAGTGGGAGTTGAAATGGTTCGCGACTGGGAGGTGTAGTTGTTTAGTGCGAACCGAGCGTAGGTGTTCCGCAAAGCGGTCCCCAAGCCTCCGCTTGGGTTCCCCGATGTAGAGGAGGCCACAACGGGAACAGCGGATACAGTATACACATTAGCAGATGTGCAGGTGAACGTCTGCTTGATGTGGAAGGTCTTCTTGGGGCCTGGGATGGGGGAGGTGTGGGGGCAGGTGTAGCACTTCGTGGTTGCAGGGAAAAGTGCCGGTTGTGGTGGGGCTGGAGGGGAGTGTGGAGCGAACAAGGTGGTCCCTCCGGAAAGCAGATAAGGGTGGGGAGGGAAAAATGTCTTTGGGGTCGGATTGCAGATGGCGGAAGTGTCAGAGGATGACGCGTTACCTGAAACGGACACTGGCAGCGATGCGCCGGCATCTCCTGGCACTACAATCAAGCCTACTCCAGCTCACAGCCTCCCTCTCCCAGACCTGCAAAGGACCTCTCCTGTTTTTTATTCTTCTGCCTCACACCCCCTCCCCGCAATAACAACCGAAACAGAATCCCCCTCGTCCTCATGTACCACCCCACCAACCTCCAGATCCAACGCATCATCCTCCGACACTTCCGCTATCTGCAATCCGACCCCACCACCAAAGACATTTTTCCCTCCCCACCCTTATCTGCTTTCCGGAGGGACCACTCTCTCTGGGACTCCCTTGTCCGCTCCACACTCCCTGGGGACCCTTGGGGACCGCTTTGCAGAACGCCTTCACTCGGTTTGCACTAAACAACTGCACCTCTCAGTTGCAAACCATTTCAATTCCCCGTCCCATTCCTCAGATGACATGTCCATCCTGGGTCTCCTGCAGTGGCACAACGATGCCACCCAAAGGTTGCAGGAACAGCACCTCCTATTCCTCTTGGGAACCCTGCAGCCCAATGGTCTCAATGTGGACTTCACAAGCTTCAAAATCTCCCCTCCCCCTACCGCAACCCAAAACCAGCCCAGCTTGTCCCCACCTCCCTAACCTGTCCTTCCTCCCACCTATCCCCTCCTTCCACCCCCATCTCCTACCTACTAACCTCATTCCGCCCCCTTGACCTGTTCGTCCTCCCTGGACTGACCTATCTCCTCCCTAACTCCCCACCTACACTCCCCTTTTACTGGCTCCATCTCCGCCACTTTGACCTGTTTGTCTCGTCTCCACCTATCTTCTCCTTTATCAATCTTCTATCTGCCTCCCCCTCTCTCCCTATTTATTTCAGAACCCCCTTCCCCTCCCCCATTTCTGAAGAAGGATCTAGGCCCGAAACGTCAGCGTTCCTGCTTCTCTGACGCTGCTTGGCCTGCTGTGTTCATCCAGCTCTACACCTTGTTATCACCTTATTTTTATGAGCCTTTTTTAAAATTAATGGGAGGTGAGAGTTGCAGAAAAAATTGTTCCTGTTCCAAATTGCCCTTGAGCCAACTGAGATGGCTTGATGAACTATTTCAGAGGCTAATTAAGAGTTAACCAAGTTGTGGGTCTGGTGTCATAGTCATAGAATCCCTGCAGTGTGGAAACAGGCCCTTTGGCCCAACAAGTCCATACCAATCTTCGAAGCATCCCACCTAATCTACACATCCCTGGACACTATGGGCAACTTAGCATGGCCAATTCACCTAGCCTGCACATCATTGGACTGTGGGAGGAAACTGGAGCACCCGGAGGAAACCCACGCAGACACGGGGAGAATGTGCAAACTCCACACAGACAGTTGCCCAAGGGTGGAATCAAACCCGGGTCCCTGGTGCTGTGAGGCAGTAGTGTTAACCACTGAGTCACCGTGCCGCCCATATAGATTAGATCAGTAGACTGCCCTGCTAAAGAATATTAGTGAACCATTAGGATTTTTAATGGCAAGCCAGTAATTTCATGGTCACCATTACTGGTGTTTTTCATTCCAGATTTATTTAGTTAATTGAAATGAATTTTCTCATCTGCTACAGTGGGATTTCAATTCTTGTTTCCAGATTACTAGTCTGGTAACATTATCGCTATGTTGTACTCTCCATGCTACCGTACCTATAAGCTGTGCTTCCCTTGGTCTTCATAGCACTTTTTTGTCCAACTTTTAAAAATTTGCAGTAGGTAACGTTTGTGTTGGGAAATGAATCTGGAAAAATCAGCATATGTTGAGCTGCAGAAATGCTGAGTCAGAAATGAAGGTGACTTAATTCTAGGCTAAACCCTAGTTTGTTGTGTTGTTGTCTCCAGACTCACCCGAATGTGGATAAGAAACTTTTCACTACAGAATCTTTGATTGGCCTAAAGAACCCAGAGAAATCCTTTCCACTGAATAACGATGTTGGAGTTCTGAAGTGGAGGTTGCAAACTAATGACGACGCCTTTATTCCCCTCGCCAGTAAGTTCTTCAACCTGTACAGGTGATGAACAATTTGGGTACCTTCCATCCTTGCAAGAACAATTGTACAAAGCCTTTCCAGAAGTTATCACTTAATTTTAAATGGCTGTGGCATGAATTATGTTGTAACAGTTGTATGAGCATTTCCTTCCTAAACTTTCACCCCTTTCGCTTTCAGCGTGTCTTGATGTGAAATTTTTTTCTGTTGCTCTCATCAAGCACCATGGGGTATTTTACTGTATTTAACATGTGCATTGGATTAAACTCAATCAGCAATGACATTCTAAGATGTAAAATTAGAGACATTCACCCTTGTCCTTTTAGTTTCTTAGTAGAAGTTCAGTTGCACTTATTACTCAAAACTACTAGAACAGATAAAAATCCCTGTCACAGCCTGGTTATGATACTCCCCTGATAAGCTCAACAGGAAGTGGTAAGTGTAGAAGCTTGTGTTGACTGTTAGCGTGTGAATTATTTCCAGTAGCCCACTCAAATAATTAAAAAGCTTTTTTATTCCCCTTTGGGAAACAGGCGTCAACCCACAGACCAACTGTGTCCCCCTTCTGTTATACCTTATGTAAGGAGCTGAATGGCCTACTACTTGTTTCTCTGTTCTTGGGCAAATCGTAACGCACAGTTAAGACTAAGTGCCTTTCAAGTGCTTTCATTTTTTTCTCTTCCTAATTTTAGTTAACTGCTGGCCTTCAGAGAGTGCCACTGGTTGTGATGTAAATATTGAGTATGAGCTACAAGAAAGCACCCTGGAACTAAATGATGTGATCATCTCCATTCCTGTTCCGTAAGTTTTTGTAGCTTGAAGCATGTTTCTTTATCTTGGATTCCTACAGCTATTTCCCCTTGCTGCTGTTAATACTGATGCCAGAAGAATCAGCACACCTTCCACTTTCAACCCAGGCCATGACCTTCACTACCTGACTGCAGGAGCCATGACAGCTAATTGATGCAATAAAATATAAAAAAATTGTCTCTAAACTTTGAACCAGTCAGGTGAACAATAGTTGTCTTAATTCTGGAGTTGGTTCTGAATTCTCCCTATTGATAAACGAAATGGTAGAAATACTCAGCAAGTTGGGCAACACCTGGACGGGGTGTTTGGGGGGTTGGAACTAATATAAGTAAATGACTTGTTCATTCTTGATTTCCAGCATTTGGGGTTTTTATTTCAGATTTCTGATATCTGCTGTATTTTGGCATGAAGAAGATAGGAAAGTGTGTTGTAGAGAAGACACTTGGAGGTTTGCAGATGGATATAGATAGGTTGAATGAACGTTCAAAACTCTAGCAGATGAGTTTATTTGGGAAAACGCCGAGTTAATTTTTACAGAAACAAAGCAGTAATATTTGAGCAGAGATAACACCATGTGGAGCTGGAGGAACACAGCAGGCCAGGCAGCATCAGAGGAAGGGGTCCCGATCTAATACGTCAAATTTCCTGCTTTAAACAAAGTTTAAAGAGCAGGAAATTTGACGTTTTAGGTCGGGACCCCTTCCTCTGATGCCGCCTGGCCTGCTGTGTTCCTCCAGCTCCATACTGTGTTATCTCTGACTGTAGCATCTGCAGTACTTGCTATTTCTTGCTTGAACAGAGAACAACTGCAGAGTTTTGAGGTGCACAGTGGTTGGGTGTTCCAGTATATGGATCTAAGTTAGTATGCAGGTATAGCATGTAATGAAAATGGCTAATGGGATACTATCCTTTACTATCACAGGAAATGAACATAAAACCAGTTGCACAGGACATTGGTGCGACCACTTCTCTGATACTATGTTTGCAGTTTTGGTCTCTCTGTATTTTTAAAGGAAGGCTTGTAAGTGCATTGAGGGCTCTTCAGAGGAGGTTTACTGGATTGACACCTGAAGTGTGCACATTATTATGAGCATAGGTTGGACAGAGTGGGCTCAATTCCACTTGAGTTACCTGCTTGAAATGTATAAGATCATGAATGGCCTAGGCAGGATAGATGAGTAAAGCTGTTCCTTTCTTATAGATAAAAGTTTAAAATTAGAGTTTGTCCCTTTAGAACAAAGGTCAGTTTCCCCCCTCAGAGAATTGTGCGATTTTACAGCTCTGCCTTCGAAGGTGGAGTGAGATTGGCATGGGGATCTTTGAACATTTTTAAGATGGAGGTAAATAGATTCTTATTAGGATAGGTGGAATTCAAAGCACACAGATCAACCATGATCTTATTGAATGGCTGAGCAGACTTGAGGGTCTGAACGCTGTACTTCTCCTATTTCATGTGTCTGTGTGTGCAACCTATTAATCACATACATGGAATGGAATTTTCGTGACAATGACTAGAGTAAGATTAGGGCCGGTCAAGGACAGTAGTGGGAAGTTGTGCGTGGAGTCCGAAGAGATAGGAGAGGCGCTAAATGAATATTTTTCGTCAGTATTCACACAGGAAAAAGACAATGTTGTCGAGGAGAATACTGAGATACAGGCTATTAGACTAGACGGGATTGAGGTTCATAAGGAGGACGTGTTAGCAATTCTGGAAGGTGTGAAAATAGATATGTCCCCTGGGCCTGATGGGATTTATCCTAGGATTCTCTGGGAAGCTAGAGAGGAGATTGCAGAGCCTTTGGCTTTGATCTTTGTCGTCATTGTCTTCAGGAATAGTGCCAGAAGACTGGAGACGAGCAAATGTTGTCCCCTTGTTCAAGAAGGGGGAGTAGAGACAACCCTGGTAATTATAGACCAGTGAGCCTTACTTCGGTTGTGGGTAAAGTGTTGGAAAGGATTTATAATCATCCAGAAAGGAATAATTTGATTAGGGATAGTCAACATGGTTTTGTGAAGGGTAGGTTGTGCCTCACAAACCTTATTGAGTTCTTTGAGAAGGTGACCAAACAGGTGGATGAGGATAAAGCGGTTGATATGGTATATATGGATTTCACTAAAGCGTTTGATAAGGTTCCCCATGGTAGGCTATTGCAGAAAATACGGAGGCATGGGATTGAGGGTGATTTAGTGGTTTGGATCAGAAATTGGCTAGCTGTAAGAAGACAGAGGGTGGTGGTTGATGGGAAATGTTCATCCTGGAGTTCAGTTACTAGTGGTGTACCTCAAGGATCTGTTTTGACTTAATTACAATGGAGATGAGCACTGAGTCATTCTTGAGTTATCAAATGGGAGAGTGACTCACTGGAGCACTCATGTTTTTTGAGTCAGCTGTTGGTTTAAATGCTGCTGTAGGACTTGGGCCTGTAATTTAGATTGAATTTTCTTTGCAGTTTTGGAAAGGGAACGTGTTGCATTGTTGCTCAGTACGACTCCATTTTTATAAATGACCTGGATGAGGGTGTAGAAGGATGGGTTAGTAAATTTGCGGATGACACCAAAGTCGGTGGAGTTGTGGATAGTGCGGAAGGATGTTGCAGGTTACAGAGGGGCATAGATGAGCTGCAGAGCTGGGCTGAGAGGTGGCAAATGGAGTTTAATGAGGAAAAGTGTGAGGTGATTCACTTTGGAAGGAGTAACAGGAATACAGAGTACTGGGCTAATGGTAAGATTCTTGGTAGTGTGGATGAGCAGAGAGATCTCGGTGTCCATGTGCATAGATCCCTGAAAGTTGCCACCCAGGTTGATAGGGTTGTTAAGAAGGCGTACGGTGTGTTAGGTTTTATTGGTAGAGGGATTGAGTTTCAGAGCCATGAGGTCATGTTGCAGCTGTACAAAACTCTGGTGCGGCCGCACTTGGAGTATTGCGTACAGTTCTGGTCACCGCATTATAGGAAGGATGTGGAAGCATTGGAAAGGATGCAGAGGAGATTTACCAGGATGTTGCCTGGTATGGAGGGAAGGTCTTATGAGGAAAGGCTGAGGGACTTGAGGCTGTTTTCGTTAGAGAGAAGAAGGTTAAGAGGTGACTTAATAGAGACACACAAGATGATCAGCGGATTAGATAGGGTGGACAGTGGGAGCCTTTTTCTTGGGATGGTGATGGTCGGCCTGAGGGGACATAGCTTTAAATTGAGGGGTGATAGATATAGGACAGATGTCAGAGGTAGGTTCTTTACTCCGAGTAGTAAGAGCGTGGAATGCCCTGCCTGCACAAGTAGTAGACTCGCCAACTTTAAGGGCATTTAAGTGGTCATTGGATAAACATATGGATGATAATGGAATAGTTTAGGTTAGATGGGCTTCAGATTGGTTTCACAGGTCGGCGCAACATCGAGGGCCGAAGGGCCTGTACTGCGCTGTTAAGTTCTATGTTCTAAGTGTGAGCTCTAAAGTTTAATTTTGAGGATAAAAAGTTTTAAAGCAGAAAATCTAGAATCACTTAAAGTGGCAATAACACTAAGTGTTTGCAGATCCTCCTGCATCAACAATTGTCTTCTGTTGTACCTAGGTCTGGTGTTGGTGCCCCATTAATTGGCGAACTTGATGGTGAGTATCGCCATGACAGCAGGAAAAATATTCTCGAGTGGTGCCTACCTGTCATCGATGCCAAAAATAAGACTGGCAGCTTGGAGTTCAGTATAGCTGGGCAGCCCAGTGATTTCTTCCCAGTCAATGTGTCTTTTGTGTCCAAAAGGAACTACTGCAAAATACAGGTACAAACTCCCATCAATTAAAACCTTTCTTCAAGTGTATTTGACTTGTTGTATTATGACTGCAAAAGCGCTTCTGACTACCCATTGCACCACTACGAATATGGCCTATTTCCTCTTCTGTAACATTCCTCAACCGACTCCTGCTTCAGCCTGTCTGCAGAACCCATTAGTTGTGGGATTGTTGCCTCTAGCTTTGACCATTTTAATGCACTCCAGGTTGGCCTCTTCCACCTTTCATGAATTTGATATGGTGTGAAGCCATTCTACCCATATCCTCATTTGTGCCAAGACCCATTCATAGGTCATCCCCATACTTGTTGACTGCCATTAGCTTCCAGTCTGCTAACACTTGGTTTTTAAAAATTCTCATGAAACGTCCTTCTGCGCTTCTCCAGTTCTGTAATTGCTGCTATGTTGGCGGCTGTATTTTCAGCTGTTTAAACCCCAGGCTCCAGAATTCCTTACCTAAACCTTTCTGCTTCTGTGCCTGTCTTGTCTCCTTTGCAAAGCTCTTTTTACAAACAAAAAACTTTTAGGTCAAGCCTTAGGTCATTTGTCTGAAATTGCCTGTAGTTCAGTGTCAAATTGTGTTTGATAACTCTCTTAACAAAGTGCCTTTAGGTGCTTTACTGGATAATGGGTGCAATATGAAGTTGTTATTGCATTTGCAGGACCTCCAATGCGTTGAAGTTATTCCAAAGGCTTGTTGTTTATTTGAGATGTAACTGACTGACACCTTCTAGTTAGTGAGAAGTTGTTGATTTTGTCAGAAGATGTTAATGGTAAATTAGATGCAACCACCCCAATTTCAAACATGCAAACTTCCATCAGATTCATTTTTGTAACGAAAAATGTATTTGAAAGCATTAAAATGAACACACTAATCCATTAACAATTTTCCAGTGTTAAACTTAAAACCAAACCAAATATTTAAAATAACTCTGATTTGCAGAGTCAGTGCAGGGATGGCGTAACCTGCCTTATGAACTAACCTGAGATAGTAGGAACTGCAGATGCTGGAGAATCCGAGACAACAAGGTGCAGGGCTGGATGAACACAGCAGGCCAAGCAGCATCATAGGAGCAGAGAGGCTGACGTTTCGGGCCTCGACCCTTCATCAGAAAAGGGGGAGGGGAAGGGGGTTTTGAAATAAATAGGGAGAGAGTGGGAGGCGGATAGAAGAGGGATAGAGGAGAGGATAGGTGGAGAGGAAACAAACAGGTCGAAGAGGCGGGGATGGAGCCAGTAAAGGTGAGTGTAGGTAGGGAGTTAGGAAGGGGATAGGTCAGTCCAGGGAGGACGGACAGGTCAAGGGGGCGGGATGAGGTTGGTCGGTAGGAGATGGGGCTCTGGCCAAATTGGAGCCACGCCTGATCCTGCTACTGCTAGCATTTTATGAGAATCCTGCTTCTGAATCAAATGTTTTGACTTAATTGCAATGGAGATGAGCACTGAGTCATTCTTGAGTTATCAAATGGGAGAGTGACTCACTGGAGCACTCATGTTTTTTGAGTCAGCTGTTGGTTTAAATGCTGCTGTAGGACTTGGGCCTGTAATTTAGATTGAATTTTCTTTGCAGTTTTGGAAAGGGAACGTGTTGCATTGTTGCTCAGTACGACTCCATGCACTAACTAGTTTAGTTTGGGACTATGTTCAGCATGGACTGTTTGGACTGAAAGATCTGTTTCTGTGCTGTATGACTATGACTCTAGCTGGCAGTGGATTTAGCATAGTACCAGATGATGCTGGAGCTCCAAAGATGTAGGTTACATGAAATTCCCTAAAAAGAATTCATTAGGAAGGATTGTAGCCACCCAATATTCCCACTCAGTCACTATCGAGTAGACTAACTCACCTTACCTGTAATTGGGTTCAGACTTAGCTGTGAGCCCCTTCTGTTCTCCGTTAGGGTTCAAACACCAAGAGCCAATCTGAGAAGTTAGCTAATACTGCAAGGCTGTCCTTTGGGCAAAAGTTAAGGAGAAATAAAAGTTTTTATTTTGTCTCCTTTTGTACCTAGGTGAGTGGAATCAGTCATGTCGACAGCAGCAGCCCTGTGAGGTTCTCTATGGAAACCATATTATTGGTTGACAAATATGAAATATTGTAAAAAGAAAAATCAATGCACAACAGATATCCAGAAATCACACGATCAGATGTCGCTGAACTGCACACCAGTTTGAAGACCCTAAACTTCAAAATTAAAATTGCACAGTGTTTGTGTATTTGAAAAAGGTTCAGAGCGCCTAGACAACAATGTGGTTTATTATCTGTTATTCAAACCTGACAACTATTCTCATCTGAAAAAGGAGTTTGATATTAATATTTTAATTAACCAACAAGTAAACACTTGTCTTTGTTTTGAAAAGGGGGGATGGATGGGTGGGTGGGAGGGGATGACGTTTGGTAGCACCTACAGTGTCATGTATTTCAGCTACAGCATCTGTTATTCCCTATCATATTGCCTCCTCGGCTGTAATTATTGTTTTAGCTCTTCTGTTGAGTTAGTTTCCAACGTAAAGTGACTTTTTCTTTTTCTTTTTTTTTTGGATTTGGATGAAAGATGATTAAAGCAGAAATTTTGTAACCCTGTAAAGTGTATAAGAGGGAATATGACAACATTCCAGTGTAAAAAGGTTTAACAAAAAATTGTAATCTTTAAAAATGATTAAAAGTATATTATGAAACCCAAGATGCAGCATTGCTTTCTCTCCTATTGGTAAAGGATGATTGTAGAAATGGTCTCTATGCCACCTGTGGAATTATGTTTCCTTTTTAGGCAAAGACTAAGGCAGTATGTCAATCATGGTGGTAGAGTGCTTCAGTGAGGTGGGACAGTGATGGATATTGGGAGCATGCTGAAAGTTTGTTGAAAATCTGCAAGTCACAATTGAAGCAGGAACATGGTAAAATGAGTTGGTGTCATTTCTTTCATGTATGCATTCAGCATTTGATACTGGGGAATTTCATGCATCTTTTCAGAAATACACTGCTAATTTTCTGCCTTCTACATTTGGGTTTCCCTCAATGTCCGGCTTGTCTGATTTCTTCCCTGACATGGGAAAGACTGCTGCTACAACTGTAGCTTAAATTATAAAGTACCTCTACAGCTTTGTGTCAGAGGCTACTTATCAGAACTGTTTCTTGATTTGCTAGTCTTTTGGTAGTTCTGCAAGCTGCCTTGAGTCCATCAAAACTGTAGCAGCAAGCTGTTGTGAAGAACAATGCATTAAAACAATTTGTGAATCCAAGATTCCTTTGGGCAAGTTGTGATATCAGAACCAGATGTAGTTAATAGTTCTGAATGCACCCAACAGTCACTATTTGACCGATATTTCTAGATTTTGTTTTCTTTAGCACTAGTTCATTCTATTAGTTAGTGACCAAACTATAGATTTTGTTCGTTTATTCACAGGATGTGGACATTGCTGGCTAGACCAGCATTTATTGTCCATCTTTATTGCCCAGAGGGCAGTTAAGAGCCACATTGCTGAGAGTTTGGAGTCACATGTAAGCCAGACAAGACCAGGTAAGGTAGACCGTTACCTTCCCTAACGGACATTAATGAACAGATGGGTTTTTCTACAAATAGACAATGGTTTCATGATCATTAAATTCCAGTTTTTTTTTTTAAAATTTGAAATTCACCATTTGCCATGGCAGGATTTGAATCCTGGTTTCCAGAACGTTGCCTGGGTCTCCGCACTAATAGTCCAGTGGTAATACCACTAGGCCATTACCTCCCCATTCGTTCTTAATTGTTTGTGAGCTGTCTTTAGTTTGAATTGTCACAGGGCAGAAAGAGGGCAGTTGGCCTATTATGTTGTAATAAAAGTGTATAGTAAATCATTTTGAAACTTGGATTTTAAAGGAGAGGTAAAGCAGACTTGTGGTTTCACATCTGTAAAAAAGTTCTGTTTGAGGTCTAAAAATAATTTGGAACATTTGAAGTCAATGCATCATTCATAAAGCATGTTACAAGCAAGGTATCTGTGGAGCTAATTGAAGTGTTAACACTGTTTGCATGTAGAAAAATAAATGGTTAGGGGCGACTAGATGTTTGAGTTCAGCTCAGTAGAATCAGGTTTCAGTTCAGAAGAACAGTTTCGTCCTAGTGGAAGAGTATCTGTTAATTATGTTGAAATGTCCAAACTGAGTTTAGTTCAAGGAATCTTGAAAGATTGCAGGACTGCAGAAGTCTCCCAGCAGTCAGAATTGAAAGGAATCCAGGCCATCCAGAATGAAGTCTTGAGGCCATTAAAACTGGAAAATGCCAGTTATTAAGAAGTTACGAGTTAAAATAGGAATGATTGTTCCTTAGGACTGAGTGGGTTTTAAAGTATGTCGCTGGGAACCAGGCTGCATCTTTTTGTTGATCAGGGCCTTTCTAAAGGTTTTTTGTTAAAATTTTGTTTTTTTTTTTAAAAAGAACATTGGCAGCCTTTTGTGACAATGTTCAGTGGCTGACCATTGTGATAACCAAATTCAAAAGGAAGTGAATGCAGAATCTTTAAATATTTTAAGGCAGAGCTAGATAGCTTGATTATCAAGGGGATGAAAGATTATTTGGGGTATGCAGGAATGTAGACTTAAGGTCAAAAACAGATCAGCCATGATCTGACTGAATGTCAGAGCAGGGTCAAAGGGCAGAATGGCCTACTATTGCTTGTAAAGCAAAATGAACAAACTTCATTTGAAATGAAAGAGAAAAGTTTTTAAAAGCTTGATCTTCATTGAGAGAACTGATTTTAGAGTGAGAAAGTCTTAGAATAAACAAAGGAGGTAATAGTTCAGAGGGTTATTCCAAATCCACGTTCCTAGAAGTGCACGTTTACTGCTTTGAATTTAGAGAATGAAATTGAAAGTTAATTTAATTTACTTGAGAGGTAGCTAGGAAGATGAACCAAAAGATGTTTGGCTCTTTCATATTAGTGTTTGACAGGTCACAACTATGAATGTGTGCACCAGTTCAGTACAAGAATAATGTACAAACTATAAAACTGTTTCTTTCAAAAAAAAACAATATTCAATGCTTGTCCCTGAATCTCATCAATGAAAATAGAGGGCTTTGAGAAACCTAATAAGACATTTGCAGGAAAAAAAATGACAGGATCGGGGGTTTTGATAAAGTTACGGAATAAAAGGAAAATAATGATTATAGAAGAATTAATAGAAATGGTACTCCTCTAAACTTTAAGGTATTTAGATGAGCATTAGGTATCAAAGTTTAAAGCAGCAGCAGATCTGGGAGCTCTGACTCCAGCATCTGCAGTTCTTGCTATCTCCAAGTGACTTAGTACCATGACATCTGAGGTGGGCAATTGGTCATATGGAAATCAAGGAAATTTGAGGAATGAAATATCATAGCAACAGAAGGGTAATGGAGAAAAGCTAGAGCTTATTGATTAAAGGAAAAATGTTTCTACTGTACTAAGACTGGACATAAAAGTCAGTTGCTGGAAGTTAAATAAGAAACCAGTTGGAGTAATGAGAACTCAAGTGAATCCTCAAAGAATGCATCAAGAAAGGAAATGGCTTTTAAATCTGTAGTAATAGTGGAGCAAATTCCCTTAGAACCTACTAGGAAGTGAGGGATGGCTCTGGACAGTTAACAGAAGTTCTTTGACTACTGATGCTGAATCATGTCATTGGAGGCTCAAGATATTTCAAGGGGACACTTTTGTCCTTATTCGTTTAATCAAGGAGAGATGATCTAAGAAAGGTAGAGACACTGGAGCAAGTCAGTTGCTGATTCACTACTCAGCTTTAAGCAAAACACCCGTTATACTTGCAACACAGTTAAATACAAAAAAAAAACTGGCAAACTTGTTAGTAGTTAAATTATTTTATTAAATAATTTAATGATCAATTATTCTAATATAAATCCATCCTTGGCAAAGGCAAAATCAGTAAAACAGATTTTCCTTGTGCTATTCATAGAATCCCTAAAGTGTAGGAGTGTGGTATTTGGCCCATCAAGTCCACACTAACCCTCTAAAGACCCCGACCCCCACCCCTGCCCTTCCCATAGCTAGTTCACCTAGCCTGCACATCCCAGGACACTATGGGCAATTTAGCATAACCAATCAACCTAACCTACACATCTTTGGACTGTGGGAGGAAACAGGAGCACCTGGAGGAAATCCACGCAGACACAGGGAGAACGTGCAAACTTCACACAGACAATTGCCCAAGGGTGGAATTGAACCCAGGTCCCTGGCACTGTGAGACAGCACTGTTAACCACTGAGCCACCGTACTGCCCATACAGTGTACCATTCAGGAGAAAGGAACAATCTAGTGGTACAGAGAGAACTCGATTTTTGCTGCAGCAGAGAAAAAGCTGGATCTATCGTTCAACACCAACAACCCTAACTGAAAACACAACTAAAACCCTGGGTCTGTGACAGCCTGACTCCACCCATTCATCCTTCTTTGGTCTAATTGAAAAAGCAACACTTGGAGCTCAAACAGATAGTAAGAACTGCAGATGCTGGAGTCAGAGATAACACAGTGTGGAGCCTGCTGTGTTCCTCCAGCTCCACACTGTGTTAACTCGGAGGTCAAAGCTGTCAACCCACTGCTAATGAAACACACATTCTGGCACCACTGTGACTACATGTCTGCAAGAGAAACAGCACAGAACACATCTGAGTGGTAACCCCTAGGATAACGATATTGGCGGATTCAGCAGTGGTGATGCCACTGACTATTACAGAATGAAGTTTAGGTTCTCTCTTGTTGGAGATAAAAAGTTAAATTCTACCACCTACCATGATGGGATTTGAACCTATGACCCAGAGGATGGGGACTAACTGGACTAGTGATCCAGCAGTCCAGTGACATTATCACACTACCACTGGACAGGTGCCATTATATGGGTTATGTAAATAGATGGAAAAAAAATACAATTACAAGAATCAATTCATATTGAGTCAAGATGACCCTTCTTGATATTAAAAATATACACCCTTGAGGTCAATTTTCACTTCTGCTGCAGTAACACTTGTTTTAACACATTATGTCAGTTTTTTTAGAGTATTGATGAGCTCTTTATCAAAGAGAAAAATAGAGAGCTTCTGATAAGCCAAAAGCTCAACACTGGACTGTGTGTAAAACATCAGTGTTTGACTAAATCCTCATATTTTTAATAAAGATATTTACCATGGAGTGCATCAAAGAAACTTGATTGTACCCTAACCCTGAATGTCGAACAGCAACCACTTACAGTTAGACTGGGGATAAGATGCCAATCTAAATCCACTTTGATATTTAAACCTATCTCCCAAAAACCATGACCGTTATTGCACCAGTTTATGGCAGCTCTCTGTCAAACAGTTGACTGCTGTGTTTCTTTGGTGTAAAACATTGTAACTTCTGCCATCAAACAGGGAAATGAAATCAGAGGTCAGCTCCCTCCCTTGGTCTCTTACTGTTTCTCTCCTTCCCTTGCTGCCTCTCCCCCCTACCCCTCTATTTTGGTCCATAGTCCTTTTGTACCACTTTCCTTTCCAGACCCATCGTCACTTCCCATCCCAGACAGCTACCTGGGCCACTGAGTGCACAGGTACTGATACTGCATGTTCTGGGAGTCTGCCCTCAGCAGAAATGTTACAACTGGCAGGGTCTTTTAAGTTCAGCAAAGTGGATGCAGATTTGGCATGGTGATTTGAAGAACAGGATGCTTATGGCACATTATCCAGACCAACAGCTATCATTTCATCATTTCTCCTCATCACCTTCTTCAGACTGAAGATGTGAGACCTGTTTGTTTCTTCAGTGCACAGGAACCATCCGCTCGCCCAGGCAGATTCAAATTTGAAATATGTACTATCAAACTTCTGCTGGTAAAAGATAATGTTCTTCATGCTGTCTTCTACATTTGTTGGAGCATTACCTTCCTAGATAAAACACAATTTAAAAAGAAAGTCATTCCAATTTAGCAGATCAAAACAACATTAACGGTCCAGATTATGACAGTATGGGGTAGCAGGTGGGGACTCCTTCTGCATCCTTCAGCGCAAACATTTCTCGTTTGAAGAACAAACAAAGTGCATTTCATATCACTCACTGCAAGAAGCAACAGAACAGGCAGCCCTATTCTGTCAACTGATGAAGCTTACAGATAGAGGAGGAAACAATGAAGAAGAAAATAGTGACACAGAGATGTAATCGGGTTCAGAAACTCTACTTCCAAGCACAATTAGATAAAAATAAACTCAGCTACCTTCCTCCAGATTTTCAAAGGGATCTTCAATGTCTAACTCAATGCAGAAATCCACCCAGATACTGCAGCCACTTTTTACATTCCAATAAGAAAAGTTCAAATTCCAGAACTTCTCGTGTTAGTGTGTATGTGAGTGAATAGGTGAATGTGTACATGTGAGAGTGCGGGGAGGTGGGGGAGGGGTGTTGTAAGGGAGTAGGGTACTGAGGTTGAAGACATTTTGTAGGATTCTAGACACAGCCTGCACATCCTGAGATACGATGGGACAATTTAGCATGGCCAATCCACCCAACCGGCATATCTTTGGACTGTGGGAGGAAACCAAAGCACTCAGTGGAAACCCACGCAAACACACAGAGAACGTGCAAATTCAACATAGACAGTTGCTTGAGGTGGATCCATCCTCCTGACTCCATTTCTCGACTCTATTTCCTGCCTTCTCCCTGTAACCCTTGATCCCCTTACTAATCAAGAACCCATCTATCTCTGTCTTAAATAAACTCAATGACTTGGCCTTCACAGCCTTCTGCAGTAATGAGTTCTAAAGAATTCTAAGGATTAACCACCCTCCGGTCGAAGAAATTCCTCTTCATCTCAGTTCTAAAGGGTTGTCCCTTGATCGAGGCTGTGACCTCGACTCCTAGTCTCTCCTGCTAGTGGAATCATCTTCTCCATATCCACTCTATCCAGACCTCTCAATATTTTGTAAGTTTCAATGAGATCTCCCCATCCTTCTAAACTCCATTGAGTACGGACCCAAAATCCTCAACCACTCCTCATATGACAAGCTTTTCATCCCCGGGATCATTCTTGTAAACCTCCTCTGGACCTCCTCCAAGACCAGCGTTTCTTTCCTTTGATACGGGGTCCAAAACTGCTCACAATATTCCAAATGTGGTCTGACCAGAACCTTACATAGCCTCAGCAGTCCATCTCTGCTGTTGTATTTGAGACTTTGGAAATGAATGCTGACATTGCATTTGCCTTCCTAACAGTTATGTGAACCTGCATGTTAACCTTAAGAGAATTCTGAACTAGGATCCCAAGCACCTTTATGATTCAGATTTCTGGAAATCCAAATAGATCATGGTCCAGTGGCTCTCCATTGTCAAATTTGCTCACTACTTCATCAAAGAATTCAACAGATTTGTCAGGCATGACCTCCCCTTGATGAAACTGTGCTCATTCAGCCCTATTTTACCACAAACTTCCAAATACTTTGTCATCTCATCTTGAATATTGGACTCTTAAGATCTTACCAACGACTGAGGTCAGGCTAAACAACCTACAGTTTCTGGTCTCTGCCTCTCTTCTTTCTTAAAAATTGAGCTTTTACATTAGCCATTTTCCAATCCTTTGGGACCCTCTCTGATTCCATTGATTCCTGAAAGATCACCACCAATACCTCTGCAATCTGCCTTCTTAACAGCATTGTGGGAGTCCCTAGACACTATGGGCAGCAACAGTTTAAGAAACAAAAATAGAAAGTGCTGGAGAAGCTCAGCGAGTCTGGCAGCATCTATGAAGAGAGAAACAGACTTAATGTTTGGGAGTCTGGTGACCCTTCTTCAGAATGGACTCCTAAACGTTAACTCTGTTTTCTCTCCACAGATGTTGCCATACTGCTGAGTTTTTCTAGCAATTTCTGTTTTTGTTTCTGATTTCCAGCATCCACACTTATTTGTTTTAATTTAACAGTTCAAGACAGCAGCTCACCACTATCTTCTTATGAATGGCAATAAATACTGGCCTAGCCAACGACACCCACATACAATGAATGAATAAAACAGAAAGCTGTGCTCCCAGTAGAAAATTCCTTTCAGAATCCACCTTGTTAAGTACCCTCAGGATCTTATATATTTCAAAATGATCACCTATCATTCTAAACTCCAATGAATATGGTCCCAATCCTTCCTCTTAAAATAATCACCAACCTCACCATTCTGAGCATTATAAATCCAAATTGTACTTACCTTAAACTTCACAACTTTTCTGTTTCCTTCCTCAGTGCAGTACATGAGATAGTCTGATCCAGCGACTTTAATCTGGAACACGATTGGAATACCACATGGCATGTGTTTTTCCACCTGGCTTCTGTAGGGCACCAGATTGAAACTGGTGCTATCATTTCCTGTTTGAAGTAAGTATTTGTTAAGTTATTTCCAGAAAACATACATTTTTAATGTATTGTAAATTTTCTTTTCAATGCATATTTTTATAGAAGTATTTTTCTGATCTTCCAGTGATTTGCAGAGGAGCCATTATTCAATACCACGTTGCTCCCAGACTTTCACCATTGCAGCTCTGAAGTGTTAGGGTCACTTGAACTCTGTTTTCTCTCCACAGATGCTGTCAGACCTGCTGAGTTTCTCCAGCAGTTTCTGTTTTTGCTCTGATCTCCAGCTTTCAGCTCTGAAGCATGTGTTCTGAGGTGGTACTGGAAAACAACTTGCTGGGTCTTTTAGGCTCAGACACAAAAACAAATTGCTGGAGCAACTCAGCAGGTCTGGCAACAACTGTGGAGTGAAAGCAGAGTTAATGTTTCGGGTCCAGTGACCCTTCCTCAGAACGTTGAACTCGGAGAGCTTGTTGAATCGCCAATTTGCAGTTCAGATGGCTGGTCCTTCACACCCATGCTGGCTCATTGTTAAAGGTTCTAATTAGTCTTTCCCATAGCCACACAAATATTATATTTTCAACAAAAACAACTTACAATTAATGTAGCACCTTTAACATAACCAAACATCTCAAGACAATTCACAGAGGCATTATAAAACAAAGTATTGTACCAAGCCACTCAATACATTGGGGCAAATGGCCTAAAACTTGGTCAAAGAGGTGGGTTTTAAGAAGTGTCTTAAAGGAATGACAGCAATGTAGAGATGATGCAAGATGTAGGAAGGGTAGATATACAATTCCCTTTTGGAAGTTATTATTGAAATGTTTCCATTGTTCTCTCAGGCAATGCATTCCAGATCTTCATAACTTGACGAGCAAAACAAGGAAGATTTTCCTATCTACCCTCTGCCTCTTGTGCCTGTTCCACCTTCACTCTGCTGTCATCTGTTGACCAAGGCACAATTCTGGAGGCTATTTCTCCCTCTCTCCACTGTTTCAGAACTTACAGTTTTGAATTGTTTCTCCTCATATTTACCTTTGAGTAGAGAACGTTAATCTCAGGTACTCCTTTCATCCTGATGTCAGATCAAGACTACAGTTCTAACGTGTCAAGTTTCTGAGAAAAACTAACTAAGACTTAGGAGGTGACCAAAAAGTGTTTAAAGGGTGCTGAACAAGCAATGAAAACAAGGCCAAAACTTGGAGCTTTGTCACTGGAGACTAAGGGGTTTGTACTGTTACCTATTTCTAGGGATCCATTAAAAGCAAGGTTCACAAAGAAACTTGTTGATGTGAGTACCTAGCGAGTGCTCCACACAGGAGAAAATGAAATTAGTGCATGTGTCATTTAAATATGTTAAACAGATACTGTGAAAGGTAGAATAATCAGGACAGAGCGGTCACAGAAGTAGTGAATTAAAAATTTCAAAACAATTTGAGATTGAATCAGAAATCAGATGACACTCCAGTATTTAGATTGGATGATATGGGCTGAACAAAGAAAATTACAGCACAGGAACAGGCCCTTTGGTCCTCCAAGCCTGTATTGACATGCTGCCCATGACAACAACAACCCCCTACCCTTCCGGAAACCATATCCCTCTATTCCCATCCTATTCATGTATTTGTCAAGACACCCTTTAAAAGTCACTATCGTATCAACTTCCATTACCTCCTCCGGCAGCGAGTTCCAGGCACTCACCACCCTCTGTGTAAAAACTTGCCTCGTACATCACCTTTAAACCTTGCCCCTCACACCTTAAACCCATGGCCCCTGGTAACTGACTCTTCCACCCTGAGAAAAAGCATCTGACTGTCCAGTCTGTCCATGCCCTTCATAATCTTGTAGACCTCTATCAGGTCGCCCCTCAACCTCCGTCGTTCCAGTGAGAACAACCCAAGTTTCTCAACCTCTCCTCATAGCTAATTCCCACCATACCAGGCAACATCCTGGTAAATCTTTTCTGTACCCTCTCCAAAGCCACCACATCCTTCTGGTAGTGTAGTGACCAGAATTGAACACAATATTCCAAATGCAGCCTAAGTAAGGTCTATAAAGCTGCAATATTACCTGCCAATTTTTAAACTCAGTGCCCCGGCCGATGAAGGCAAGCATGCCATGTGCCTTGTTGACTACCTTCTCCACCTGCATTGCCACTTTCGCCCAGATCCCTCTGCCTATCAGTACTGTTAAGGGTTCTGCCATTTACTGTGTATTTTCCATCTGGATTAGACCTTCTGAAATGCATTATCTCAAACTTTTCCGGATTAAACTCCATCTGCCATCTCTCTGCCCAACTCACCAACCGATGTATATCCATCTGTATCCTCTGATGGTCCTCATCGTTACCTGTGATTCCACTAACTTTTGTGTCATCGGCAAACTTACTAATTACACCACTCACATTCTCCTCCAAATCATTGACGTATATTACAAACAGCAAAGGTCCCAACACTGATCCCTGTGGAACACCACTAGTCACAGTCCTCCATTCAGAAACGCACTCTTCCACTGCTACCCTCTGTCTTCTATGACTGAGCCAGCTTTTTATCCATCTTGCAAGCTCACCTCTGACCCCTTGCGACTTTACCTTCTGTATCAGCCTGCAGATCCTGACAAAGGCCTTACTGAAGTCCATGTAGACACCATTCACTGCGCTAACTTCATCGATCATCTTTGCTTGAAAAGTTAGCTGCAATATTATGCAATTTCCTGTAAAACTGATTAAATGACTTATAAGAGCTGTTACAGACTCATAAATCAACTGATGTAAACAGGCCAGGAAAAACATATTTGGCTATATGTGATGTTAACGTAGGGAATATATTACCCATAAAACAACATCATGACAGACTGAATCCAAAGAAGTTAGCTAAATTGAGAGAAGAAATCAAGATAGATAGTGACATTATTAAACTATGTCAAAGTAGCTAGCTCACCTATTGTGATGGTGCCGAAACCAGATGGATCACAATGATTGTGTATCGATTATCACAAAGTCAGCGTAGTAATAATGGTAGATTCATATCTGATTCCATGATTACAGGACTGTATTAAAAGGATTTGACAATCATGGTTTGTTACAAAAATTGACATTAAATGGATATTGGCAAGTTCCATTGCCTGATGCAGCCAAAGAAACATCAGCTTTTGTAACACTGGATGGACTTTACCAATGTAAAGTCATGTTATTTGCAATGAAAAATGCACCAGCAACTTTTTAATGATTAACCAACAGAATCATCAAAGGTTTGTTTAGTTGTGCTCATTCAAACCTGGAAGGAACATTTACACCACTTGAACAGATTATTTGGCTAATTATGAAGAACCAATTTGGTCATAAATTTTGTTACAAGTAAATTTACCAAAGTAAAAGTGACTTATTTGGGTCAGACTGTAGGACAAGGCCAAAATAAGTAATGATTAGAGCTTTACAATTGTCAAAGTTATTCCGACATTCTTTTGTCCATTCAAGTTTCTTGTCTCCTTTAACAACTTGGTTAAAGGAGCCAATAAGATGCTGAAATTTGGAACAAACCTCCAGTGACTTATTTGGGTCAGACTGCAGGACAAGGCCAAAATAAGCATAAATGAAGATGAAATTGAATTTTCTCATGCCTACAACATCAAAAATGTTGCAATGTATTGGTGCTAGTGGATTCATTGGAGGTTTGTTCCAAATTTCAGCATCTTATTGGCTCCTTTAAGCAAGTTGTTAAAGAAGACAAGAAACTTGAATGGACAAAAGAATGTCGGAATAACTTTGACAATTGTAAAGCTGTAATCATTACTGCATGGATTTTTAGCAGCACCAGATTATGAAAAGTCATTCAACTGTTAGCAATATCGATGTTAATGCAGTGTCATTATAACCACAGATGATCAGTCAGTCAGTTTTCGCACAAACTAAACTCAGGCCAGTAGAAATGTTCAACTCTGCAAAAAGAGACTTTGAGTTTGATATCAGCTGTACAACATTTTGCAACTTACCTATCCAGCAACTCTGTAAAGACTGTTATTTATAAGGACCACAATCCTTTTTTAAGTGATATTTCATACCAATAGTTTGATTCTGTTTCATTGGAATTTACTGCTATGAGCATACAATTTGAAAATTATTCATGTAGCTGGCAGAGACAATATTATAGCAGATTCCTTATAAAGAGCAAATATGAAAGAAAATAAATGCAATCGTCATAAGGGACTTGAGTAGAGTAATGATTGTGTTGTAAAGTCCTTGTGTATGTAACCTTAATATTGTTACAGTCAAAATGAAACCTGTATAAATAGAGCAGGTATAGTGATAAGCAACTGTAATTGCAAAATCAAATTGCCCTTTAAAGAAACCTTTCATGACCTTTTCTTTTCTACAGAGGTGTAAGGTTTCACAAGATTATTACCACAAAAGTGGACGGAATCAGATATAGTTATTAAGTTTGATTTGTATTTCTATATTATGTAATAGACCACAAGAAATAGAAGCAAGAGTAAGCCATTCAATCTGTCGAGTCTGCTCCAACATTCCACAGGAGACACATTTCATATCCACTTTCCTGCATTTTCCCTATAACCATTGAGTCCCTATTGATCAAGAATATCTATCTCTCTCTATCTATCTCTCTATCAATCCCTCTATCCATCTAACTATCTATCTATCTATCTATATCAGCCTTAAATATATACAAGGACTCTGCCTCCACAATTTCTTGGCAGGTACTGCAAAGACTTACAACCCTCTGACAGAAGAAATTCTTCCTCATCTCAGTCTTAAATTGGTACCCCTTTATTCTGAGGCTGTGCCGTCTGGTCCTAAACTCTGCCATGAGGGGAAACATCATCTCAGTATTTACCCTGTCAAGCCCTTAAGAACCCTTTCTGTTTCAATGAGACCACCTCTCATTCTTTTAAACTCCAGTGAATAGAGTCCCAACCTGACAACCTTTGCTCAGTAGACAATCCCTCCATTCCAGGG